CGAAGGGCCGAACCCCGAGCTTCTAAGGGAGCCGTACACGAGCTGTTCGTGAACAACGAGCCGTCTTGACAGCCCTATATGGATAGTATAATTTATAACTGCTTTAGTATTCTGGTTAGTATTTAGGGAAATTTACATACCTGGCACATAATTCTTATGTATTTACATATCTAACACTTAACTTTCATATTTTAATACATATCATTTTGGTGCTTCAATCATATGCATGAAACGGTGCAATTCACTTTTAAATAATCATTATGGTGCCATTTCTAATATTATAATAAAGATTTGAGTGCTATTTGTATAAATATGAAAGCTTTTGTGTTTAGTCTTTTGTGTCTAGTCTACAAAATACATCTAAGATTCAGCCAATAATATTAAAAATTAGAAAGATTTGCATGGATACCACTCAATTTTTATTCAATTACATATGTAACAATTAACTTCAATTTTTTTTTTACATTTATACCACCATCCATGCATTGGAAGATATATTTCACTTTGGAAGTGTTAATTATAGTAGCTTTTTAACGTGACTAAAAGATATGTGTCAATAAAAAACAAAATTTTGATGGTAGATATGTAAGTAAATAAGAATTGTGCGGTACATATATAAATGTGCCAAATTAGTAAATAAAATCATGGCTCACCCTTCAATTATTTTATGCATATCTAACATCTAAATTTGAATGTTTTATATTCATAACACCCAAATCTATCATATCACATTAAAAATACCACTAGACATGACACTTACACATCAAGAAGTAATAGCTCTTTTATGAAGAAACTTATGTCCCAAAGTTTTGTAGGTACCTATTTACAATCTAATCTATATAAGGGTCTGTTTGGGGCAGCTTATTTGGTGTGGTGGCGTTTTGAAAATACACATGGCCTGTTTGGATAAATTCGTGTTTTCAAAACGCTGAAAACAACATTTTCACACCGCACGTTTTAGCAGCTTGCGTGTTTTCAAAACGCTGAAAACAGCATTTTCACACCGCACCTGTCTAGGTATGGTGGCAACACAGCGGTTTGACTTTTCCAAAAAAATAAGAATTTATAGTAGTCATTACACCCAACTTATCAGCAGATTATTTTTAATCAACTTATTAGCAGATTATTCAATAAGCTGCAACTGCCCAAAACTGCTAATAAGTAATAATTTTATCTATTTGTCTAATTAATTTATTTTTAGGGACATTTACATAAATTTCACACAATTCTTACATCACAATAAAAATATCACTAGCGCTAACTTTTTAAAAGTGGAATATACATTTTCGTGCATAGGTTTTTAATGACAAAGTAATAAATATAAATATAAAACTTTAGGTATTATAAGAGTTGTGTTGTATGTATGCAAATTTCATTATTTTTATTATTTTGTGTTAATAGAAGATCATTTTTAATGTCATCCTCCTCCCTAAATGGCATATTTTGATAATGTCAAAGCTCAAAAATCTATAAAGCAGCAGTAAGAAAACAGAACTATAGCTTATGACAATAAAAATGAAATGAAATCTGATAATAGTTTTCAACAGAGTTCTGAATATTTGATTGGAATTTTTGTCAATGTCTAAAAATTTAAAAATTATCAAAATGGTAATAATGAAATTGTTTACTTATTAACTTCTAATAATTCCATAAAAGAATAAGCAGAGTACAATTATGCACTTCAATCATGCTCAATGCCAGCACCAGATATGTCATTTGGAAAATAGTAAGGCGATTTAGGATTTTTAGCAGGTTACATGTCATGGACAAAAAGTTTCACATCCAAAAAACAGAGGTTACATGTCATGTCATGGACAAAAAGTTTCACATCCAAAAAACAGTATTTAAGTCTTGGGCTGCCCGTCACCCCTAAAAGCTCTTTTGTGAGATGACAAGTGGTATCAGGGCAAATTATTGCATGTCGGGTGTGTGGACTCTCTATTGTCCAGTGGGACCCTCGGTGGAGTCGATCCGTGACGAGGGCGTCATGTGATTGAGTGTAGGAGAATGACAAGGACAAAAAGTTCCACATCGATTGGGTGTAAGGCCGAAAAGCAATATTTAATTCATGGGCTGCCCACCACCCCTAAGAGCTCTTTTGGGAGATGACATACAGAGAAGTAGTATGTTTTTGTCTTAAAAAAATGGAATAAAAAAGATGGAAAAAATATTATGTACGTCGTCAAACTTAATGTTTTCTCCTAAAAGAATGAATGTTTGGATTACATAGCTCAAAAAAAAGGAAACAATTTAAGGAGGAAGTTACAAAGTACTTATAATTTATCAATTTATATACTTAACACTTAAACTTCATTATTTATTAAATATCACTTCAAAATTTAAATATTATCCAAATAACACTTACCCCAAATGCCATCCATCATATCTCATCCTACATGCCTAGCATGAGTTCCCGCTGCCGCCCCCCTCAAAATCGTTTTGCGCCGCCGATCAACAAAACGTTAAGAAATCACAATGGAGCTTGCTACGGCGACGCGCCAGTCACGACGGAGCTCGCTGGGGCAACGGACCGACGGAAGCAACAAAGAAAGTCTCCAAGTACCTCAGTCAACTGAGTTAAGAAAGTGGTAAATTATGTAAATATGCAAAAACAAAAAAAAAATGTTAGTGCAAGCATGTAAATCCTCCAACATTCAAAGAAAAATGGCAAAAAACTTGATCCTGCTTTATAAGGAGAAATTTGAGGGGTCATCAGAGCAATAATATCTTGTTCTTCCTGGAAAAACAAGCTTTTACATAGGTCATACAAAATAAACCTTGAAAAAAAAATCTTTTTAAAGTGCATGTGAAACAAAAGAAATTTGTTGCAAAAGGAGATCTTTTTAGTATGGCAACAAATGCAGCAAGCCCAGCCCTCTTGGAGACAAATCTAAAACAACTAACCTAACTAGTGCTTGGAGATTAAAGTATAGGGAGCAAGATGCTGGATCAATCCAACTAATACAAATCCAAAGCAATTCATATATTGGAGACAAAACAGTTTTTATTTCGATTCAGAAAAAAATTGAAAGCAAAAGTATTCTGCAAATATGATACACAGATTTTCAAGATAAATCGGCTTTTCTGAAGCAGTAACAAGAAAACAATTTCAATTAACTAACCCTACATGGTGTTGATATATGTTACAAGATTGCAAAAGAAGCAATATATGGAGTAAAACTCTAACAAGATTGAAATTTTGTGAGAAAAAGTTGAGCAAGAGAATTTACTCTCTCTCAGAGTCCTCTTCAGATTCAGAAACGATATTGGTGAGAGAAGCGGACCCAAACTTGAGTGGCTGCAATTTAGGTTTCAGCTCCTTATTGCAAAATTCCTCATATTCCCTTCTATCACCTGTCTTCTTCTTAACCTCAACCATTACCAATATTGGGGTAAGCTGAAATATCTCCACAGCGATTGTAAGTGGCCCCTTTTCCCCCTCCCTAGTCCCTTCCAAGCTGACCCTGCAATCCTTCTTCCTCATAGTGAAGCTCACCACCTTAGCAATCTCCTCCAACTTCGATATAATCTTTGGCACAGGCTCGCTGGAAAGAAATCTTGTAGCCTCACCTCTCTCTTCAAACAATCCAGAAAGATCGAAACCTTGAGAGAATGATATAATGTCAAAGGCGTTCAGGCTCGCTGGCCTCGGCAACCCTAGCTTCCGCTTTTCCGTGAATGTGATTTCAGGACATGAAGCAACAGAGGAATCGGACTCGCATCCGGAATCTGATGTGTCATCGTATGGCTCCGGGGGTGGCTCATCTAGGCTGTGAACTTCGTCGTTCTCGATATAGAATCTCACATGGCGGAAACCCTTCTTGAACCAGCGATTCTCCATGATCTCAGGAATTGTAATTCGAGTCTGTGGATTGGTGTCCAATAGGCGCGATAGAAGCTTGGTAAGATCGGAAGAAGCTTGGTAAGTTCGGAAGAGAACCACCTAGGGCATCGGAATTCCCCTTTGTAGATCTTCCGATACATCACCATGACGTTCTGGTCATGGAATGGAAGATACCCGGCCATTAGAACGAACAGAATGACACCGCAAGACCATACATCCACCTTAGCACCATCGTATCCCTTCCTCGCGAGCACCTCAGGCGCAACGTAAGCCGGCGTTCCACAAAACGTGTGGAAGAGTCCATCCTGCCGGATCTGTTCCGAGACTGCGCTGAGCCCAAAATCAGATACTTTGAGATCTCCTTGATCGTCGAGGAGAAGATTTTCCGGCTTGAGATCGCGGTGGAAAACACCGCGTGCGTGGCAGAATCCGACAGCGGAGATAAGCTGCTGAAAATATCTTCTAGCCGTGTCCTCCTTGAGCCGCCCCTTCGCGACCTTCCCGAAGAGCTCGCCACCTCGAACATACTCCATGACGAAATAGATTTTGGTCTTGGTGGCCATGACCTCGAAGAGCTGGACGATGTAAGGGTGCCGAACACGGCGTAGGATGGCAATCTCGCGCTTGATGTGAGCAACGAGGCCGCTCTTGAGGATGCGCTCCTTATCAAGGACTTTAATGGCGACGGACTCGCCGCTTTTGAGGTTCCTCGCGTGGTAGACTTTGGCGAAGGTGCCATGACCAAGGAGCTTTCCGAGCTCATAGCGGCCGAGGATGATGTTTCCCTGGCTGTCCTTCGGCTTGGGCAGCAGTTCGGACGCCATTGTAGACTTCTCCTCGGTAAAATTAGTGGCTGGAATGGGATTTTATAGAGAGGGGAAAGTGGGTTAGGGTTCCGGGCTGGTTACAGAGAGATGCAGCGACGGTGAGTGGGAAAAGGCCTGGAAGATGGGAAGATGACGGCGACGTTATTATTAGCTGAGATTGGACGGATGGAGAAGAAAGAGCCGTGAGCGCCGTCACGGCCACGTTGAGTTTCCGTAGCTTAGCAGTCGATGGCGGCGACCGCGGAGCAGAATACGCGCTTATTTTTAAGTAATTTAAAACAGTATGTAATTTAGTTTTTTTTTATATTCAAAATAATTTTTAACTTTTAATTTATAACAATTTTTAAACCAATAAAGTAAAAATTTTAATTTATTTAGATTCATTTAATTTAAATATATATATAATATCTATATTTAAGTAGACAAAAAATAATTGTGAAATTGTTGAACTAGAAGTTGTTAAAAAACTGTGATGGCTATTACAAAAAGAAATTGAAAATAATCGGATTACAGTTTTCTAACAGCAGCAACCTCCGCATATAGTCAGGCCTCGTAAAACTCAGCTTTCAATTGTATTTTTTTAAAATGCAAACAAAGCATTGTTTTAACAAACAAACGAAATAAATGTGTGGCACCGCATTGCCACCACACCGCCGCCTGAAACACACTTTGACATGTTAAAATTGTGTTTTGCCCAAATCTGAATTTACGTTAAATAGGATTAAATTCGATAAATTTGTGTGATGGAGATGAAACTCTCAAGTGATGGCGGAATAAATACTTAATCTGCCCTACAATCGGGAATGGCGGAATAAATACTTAATCTGCCCTACAATCGGAACCTATTAAATATGAAATTGATTCATATGTTTGGTTGGATTTAATTTAAATTCAGTGCTATTAAAAGTATGTTATAAAAGACCTTATAAGAACATAAATTTATAAAAACTATTTGAACTGAAATTAATTATCAAATTGAATGCGCTTAATTTAAAAAAAAAATACAATTTTTATTTTTACTTAAAACTGTCCCAAGTGGCCCGTTTCGGCTCAGATATTTTTAGAAGATTTTAAAATATATATATATATTTTTTTTAATTTTGTTAACCAGAAGGCCCAGATCATGGATGGCGTATACAGAGATGTATGAGCCGTCCGATTTCCACCGTTGATCAGAGTTTTTCTCAATTTTTTTTTTAAGAAAATTGGACTCACCAAAATACAACTTTAGTCTGATCAATGGTGAAGATTGGACGGTGCCTGCATTTTTCGGACGGCGCATGCACCTCTGCATACGTTGTCGGTATGGAATAATTTTTCCAAATCATGAGCAGGCAGAGTAGCGTTTTTTGTGGTGTTTAATTCCAAATTATTACTAATAAGAGCTTGCAATTACGATAAAGACATTAATTAATTTGTTCATTTTAGGTTTGTAATGATGGTTGGTGGGGGCGTTCTATTTGATTTGAAATGAATCATGACTTGAAATAGAATCGAAACATCGACATAAAAAGAAAAAAAGGGAGATTTGAATATACTTAATTTTTATGTATTTATATCTCTAATATTTAAAATTCAATTTTACTTGCTTATCACCTTACCCATAAAATATATATTATATATTTTGACATGGGAAAGATTTAAGTGATATAAATATAAAAAAAAAAGTTTTGAAATTAAATAAGTAATGTGAATTCCCCAAAATGAAAAATGGAAATTAAATTGTACATTAATGAATTAATCTTATGGATAGATATATATACCCATCTTTTTCATAACACAGATGTCATATGTTCTTTGTCGAGATTGACCCGTCGAGGTGACCTGCCAACCTCACTTGTCGAAGTGACAGTCATTATATACCAGTTGTCGAGGTTGATCGAACTGCGGATTGACCTGTCAAGGTGATCTACAGTTGAGGCGATCTACAAAGCATATCCCAATGAGTATTGTTAGGGATTAATCAACCACAAAAGTATAGAGATCAATAAACATGGACACGTGTCATTGTTTTTTTTTTTTTGAGTCACTCACATCCACATCACAGTTTTTTTATTAGTACTTTGTGGCATATCTAATCATTTAATATATTCTTTTCTCCATGTAATCCAATGAAGGGGGAGAACCATCAAAAGTAGAAGAAATAGAGATGATCTACTGCCTTCAAGGGGGACAAAAATATATGGATCCTCTCTTTCCACTCTTAATAAAAAGATATTTAGGGCTTGGAGTATGCACATCGTTCTTTTCCGCCATATCCTTTCTTCAAAGGTCGTATAATGCCCAAATGTTTTGAAGCAACAACAACACAAATGTAAACATGTCGATCAAGTAATATACGAAATTAGAGTTATCAATTCCACGAGTAACGTGTTTAATTTTCAATTAAGTCAAAGTTCTAGTTTACTAATTGTTTGTTTAGCTTGAAAGGTTAAAGGTTAAGTGAATTTCAAATTACTAATTCTAAACTTTGCAAAAAGATAAATCTAAGTGATGGAGGTTTCTATCATGTTAAAATTTTTCCTCTAAATTGGATCTTAGAAAACTAGGTTTAACTAAGTGATTAGGTTAAATGTGACAATTTTGAATAGTTTTCCTACCTAGCCCTTCCCGGTGGTCTAAGGAGCTTTTGAAAATGCAGTTTAGTTCTCTAAATCTAAAGGATTTTCCCAAAATTTAACATTTCTCTTTGTGATTGCACTAACTTAGAAGCAATACCTCCTGTTTCACAAGTAAGTGTGAGTTAACAAAACTGTTTCATTAATCTGCTCTCACACAACTGTATCATAACACTCATAAATAATTCAATTGGCCAGATTGACAGTCAATGAAGAACATAGGTTAAAACATCACTGTTACGCACTTTCAGTATAATCAAAACATCAAAGTTAAACGCAAGATTCACATTTACCAATTCAACGAAGATCTACTTGCTACTTATGCCTTGAAACAATAAAATATTCATTTTATTCATAAAATCAATTTAAAAATTAAGTGTTTAGAAATGAAAAGCCAAATGAAAAATATAGTGAAAATGGTACACTAGACTCCCTTCCTCTTCCAAAAGTTTTATTGAACTACACATGACAAATACACAAATTCTTCACACACTCTCCTTACAAATTTCTCTCCACACTTAGACAAGTTAAGATACTCTCTATTTCACTAGTATCCCCCAAATGATTCAGCAAAGGCCATTTTATCCCTTCCTTCATTAAATGGTGCAATTTAAATGTTAAAACTATCAATGCATGTGACTGGGCATCTAGGTGTTGCTCAGTGGTGTTAGAGAGCTGGACTCTGGCGCCTGGACGTTACAAGGATAACGTCCGTTTTTCAGGCTCTCTGTACTCCACACATCTTCAAACAAAGGCTTCGAAAGCATAGACATTGAGACATGGCACATGGGTGTTGGCCATAGCACCTTGGTGCTACAAGACTAGCACCTCTTTTCTAATCCTTTATCTCTAGCTAAATCGATCAAGAGTATAGGCATTACTCACCTGGTATCTGGGCACTACTCCCATGCTTAGCTCAATTCCAATGTCTTGATCTCACATCAATCTTCTTACTTACATACTGAAAAATACAACACAAACACATTTCAAAAGTATAAAATTAAAATAAAAAAAAATTAAAAAAAAAAAAGCAAAACACAATATGAAAGATCACATTTACACTACATAATAAATTTTCCCTACTTACAAGTCACTTGCCCTCAATTCATCTCATATTTAAAATTAGACTCAATTGAACTATTTAGTAGCTCTCATTTTAAGAATTCTTTATTCTTCACTAATATTACATAATCTCTTATAAACATATGCAAATATCATTGCATAATTAGATTTTCATTAATTTATAATCATTTAGCAAATCACCAATTATTTTTTTCTCTATCATAATGAATCATATTGCAATTAATCTAGTTTGAATATAGTAAATTCATTAGCCAAAGATAAATTTAAATAAATAAATTTGCTAATCAAATTACCCTAAATTTTTTTACTTTTTCTTGAACATAATATTTGAGAATTTCTTTAAGAAAGCTTTAAGTTTTATAAATCCATAAAGAACTAGAGATCAAATTTTGATTTTTATGCTTAACCTAAGTCTTCTTTTCAAAGACTCTATAATTTTCTATATTTTGAGATCGAAGACTTTCAATTTTTTTTCCCTTTTTTTTTTCTTTTTCACAGAGAATTACAATGTCTGGTTAAACATAAATTTTATTATTGTTTATTTTCCAACCTCCCCTTATTTTATAATTTTTAATTACTTCTTAACGTGTACTTAAAAATATTATAATTCAATTGAAAATTAATTTTTAATTAGAGAATTTGTTTGAAAACTATGGACATAAATATATCTAAGTAATTAATTGTACTCATAATATCTCTTTCTTAAGCCTTCAAAACTTCTTATGCTAATTGAGCAAGTAATTGGAAAAAGAGCTAAATTTAAATCTAAATTTAGATGAATATTGGCATTTTTTTAGTGTATTATATAAATATTATCAAAGTTTATGGTATCATATTATGATTTAGTACTATAAGGTAAAGTATAAAAGCTTAGGTATGTAAATCACTTCCAAACAGCCACACATGGATGTTACTCCCCCCAAATTTGTATTCTATCTTACACATGTCAAATGAGGAATTTCAATAAATGAACAAGGAATAACATGTATAGGCAGGCAATTTGCACAATTTGAACCACATTTCAAATACACTAAGTGACAACGTATAAAAAATTAGAATGAATAACAAAAGTTTTTACATTACAGAATTATTGAAACAAATAAACTAAATACAAGTGACATTTAACATATCACATCAAAATATATCAGAAAACAAGTTTATACGGCGGGCTAATATCAGAAGTAAACAAAAAATAAAGTTTAACAAAAAAAAAACATAGCAATCTCAGCACAACTAATCACAAAAATCTCTACATAGCTCATATTATAAAATAAAAAAACATATAAAAGTATACAAAAACACATACATCACACAAGAATCTACAAATCAACACAAGTAGGATCAAATTCCAGAAAAAGCAGTTATGCACCATTCACTACAATCATAACATAAAAACTAATCACAAAAATAAGTAGAACCAAACC